CCAGCAAACGCACACCAAAGCAAACGCAGGCATAAAACACACAACAACAACAAAAATATAACCAAAGGAACGCACTCATTCCCCCCATACCATACCCTGGCCGATTCCACCACGAAACCACCCCCTAAAGAGACAGCAAAAAAACGAACGAAAAAAAATCACTCAAACACTCGTTTTCCAGTGTCAGTGGAGTGTATGTGTGTGTGTGTGTGTGTGTGTGTGTGTGGGTGGAGGTGGGGGTAAGAGAGAGAGTGGTTTGGTTTGCTGCGGTGTGGTGAGAATTTTTTTTCGCTCTCACTCACTCACAGAGTTGCAGGATACTGTTTAAGGATGGCGTAGGACGGGGGTGAGTGAAACAATTGAAAAGGAGCGCGCGCGCTCTGTCGCTCTGCTGCCCGCCGTCGACGCAGCGCCAACCAAAACAACAAACCACAATTCACTTACACAACGCCACAGTCACCGTCGTCGTCGTCGTCGTCGTCGCTGTCGCTTGGTTGCTGCTGCGCTGCTTTGGCTCCTGTTCCTGGCTGGTGCTGCAGCGCTGCTCTGCCACTGCCACTGCCTCTGCTCGGTTTCTGTTACTTTTACTCCCGCTGGCTGCGCAGTCGGCATTGAGGTGTTTTAAAAAATGGCTCTCGCAGAGGGGAACAACAGCTGTTGGAGGTGGGTGGACACGTGGAGGCAGTTCCCCTGCGTCACTGGAATTTCCATTGATGTTGCTCCTCTCTGCCGCCACGAGTTTTTCCTACGATTCTTTTTCTTTTTGGAAAATGCCATCAGTGTTGCCTCGTTAGCGGCAGCGGTCGGTGCTGGTCTGTGGCTGCTGCACTCCTCTACTGTGCTGAACGGAGCGTTGAGGAACTGGGAGGCGGAGCCATCGGATCACTCACTCACTCTTCTCTCTCTCTCTCTCACGCACATCCATCGATCACTCTCTTCACGCTCGAGTGCGGCCATACGCTCCGCTCTATTAATAAATCAACCCCGTATCACGCACTGGTGGAGGCGATCCCTCCATTGGTTGGCGGAGCACACGCGATCTTGTGCTTCTCTCTCTCTCTCTCTCGCTTGGATTGGGGTGGGATCAAGAGCGTTCTCTCTGTGTCATTATGGCATGCACTCTTTCTGCTCTAGGGGAGGATCGCCACTGTGTGACCTGTGGGGGATGAGGTTTTGCTTTGGGTCAGGCCATTCCCCAATGCGACCTTTCATGCGGTAAATAAACACTCTTTATGGGGTTTCATGGTGGATGATCCTCAGTTTTGTGCAGAACTTGAACGAGATCATGCAATGGAATTAGCATATTCGCTTTGCAGAAGTGTTTTTTTTATGTTCAAATATCCCTTAAAGTGATCCTAAAAGTGTCTACGCAAACGTCAGTACGAAACATGAATTAATTAATTGGCAACTTGAAGATAAGTAATGGACGATGCAATTTGATCTTGAGATTTCATTTAAGATGATTTCAGATATCATAATATGTCCAAAGTCCTCTGACAATCAATCGTTTAGCTCTACCGTCTTCTTGCTTCAGCTCCCACTCCCCATCGGAGCCTTGTATCGCTTCAATTAAAGTCCAATAAAACGAGACCTTAAACGACTGCTCCGCTAATCCATTCGCGGTGATCCCTGAACCTACCCGTCTAATCCCGACCGCCCTCTCTCCCCCAAATGCACAAAAAATAAAACGCGAAATCCTACCAGAAACAGGTAGCAAACTATGGGATATTTTTTGTGCGCGGATCGGCACGGGTTTACGATGGCGGGGCGGCTAATCGGCCAAAATATTTGCGGGGCGTGCTGGCTAATCCCGGCGATTGACTTTCGTAAGTAAAGGATTACGTGGAGGTCGCGAGATTGCGCTTTGGTGTGGTTTCGAGACCTGGGACCAGCCAATACCTGCTCGAAGTTTTACCGATCACTTAGTAATTTTTTGCTTTAGTGTGGGGCGTTCAAAAAATCCATAAAAAAGGGTAGGAGTGGGCTCCTGGTACAGCTGCGCGTAATGGCAGAGGCCGTGAGGTACATACAGGTAGGTGGAAGGAAGCGCAATCGCGACATGATCCTTCCTCCTGTCGCGATGGACGCGCGCGCTCTCCGGCTTCTGTCGATCGTCGCTCGTCGCTCGTCGATCGATCAGCGGGCGCTGAATGGGCCCACGAAAATTGAGGAAAACGAGGAAAAACGCAGCGGGGTCCAGCACCCCGGACATGCTACAAGGAACCCAGACTTCGACTCAGACTATGACCAGAAGCTGCTGCCCAGTTTCGCTGGAAAATTCGCGCTCTGACAGCGCGTCCTTGTCGCACGCTAACGCTCAACGCTGAAGCTGGCAAGTAACCTGTGGCCAAGTCCGTCGTCTGTGCTGTTGGCCCTCACAGCGAGCGGGCGCGCACGTACAAAAGCAGAGGAGTCGACGCCGCTGTTGCCGGGAAAGGCAGCGATTTATTGGAAGTGTGCTGACAGAGAGAAACAGAAAGAGAGTGGTAGTGGGAGTGGGAGAGAGAAACAGAGACAGAGAGCGACATCGCGACATTTTGGTTGGCTCCGAAGCCGCAGCATCTTGACTCGTGGCTGCCCCAAACACCAAACCACACCACATCAGAGGAGCACGGCATCACCACCCACTCGCCACTCGCCACTCTTCCTTCCCTTCGCCAGGAGGAAGCCACCAGAGTGCAATTCCTCATTGTGGTTGTACCGCGTTGGCCTCGTTTTAACGTTCTTTTGGGGCTCCACAGATATTTTTTGTGGAATGTCCAGGCATTTGATTTGTCCGGCACAGCAGACAGAGGCGTCCGCCTGCCGAGAAGGGGCAGTTCCGATTCCAAGTATGACACTTCCGTTGCCATCGAATGGAATCGGATGCGATCAGGGATGAGAGATCAGCTCAGCACTCGATCCTAAGCTGAACATGATCCAATCAACGATCTGCGACAGAGGCCCCGATTGCGCCATTGAAGAACACAAATATTTACATGTCTAATCGCCGGCTAATCGCCCCGATCAGCATTAGGATTAGGGCAATCTGCCAGGGCTGGTGCACAGCAGATCGTTTAAGGTAAATTTAGATAGTATTCAGGAACACATTGCCACGACAATGTGTGTTAGTTGGATATCTGCAGATCGGATGGCTCTATTCGCAGATACCCGAGATCGAAGCTGGGGATTTGAATAAAGAGAAAATTGCATCGAATTATATGAAAACATTGCACAACAATGGGTGTTGGCGGAGGTTCACGTTGGGCCAGAAATTTGATCTTGTCCGCAAATGAACAAGATTTGAAAATATAAAACCAATTTGCAAAGAATCGATAAAGTATCAATTAAACATTAAGCAAATATTTAGTATAATTTGAAGGATTTTTAAGGGCAGTGATCGATGACTAAACAAATTGCAACTAAAGAGACTAAAGAGTAGATATGTAAATGGTTATAAAATAGTAAACAAATCTGCATATTTATGATATTAACATGTAGATTGTTATCTTTGTTAAAATAATTTTATCCAAGGAAGTTTTGTGTCACAAATAAATTTGAAGATCAATTGGATCAATGATTGCTTTTAATATATTTGAAACCCTCGCGGATAATTTGCCTTCCCGATGATCTATAGATGATGATTGATCTACATACATTTGCACTAAAGTATTTCTGATCTACATGGACGGTGCGCCCTCTAATTGAGTCCTTAGGACCAGAGACACTGGCAGGAGTACGCCCCTGACAGCCTCCGGGGCTCCCGTCCCTGGCAGACAGACACCGATGCATACCTGTGCCACCCTCTGTGGCAATAGGCCCCCCTCCAACAGCGCACAAGGCCCCTGGACACCACCACGACGGGGTGCCAGCAACACGCGCGCAGTAGGAACTGTTGCATGTTGGGCAAGGAACTCAGCCGGACTGAGAGCGCTCCTTTGGCCGCCGTGGCCGTGGCATGGCGTGGCGTGCGTAAAGGAAAAACGAAGGAAAAACTGTTTCCAGCAGCCACCCAGACCGCCCGTTGCCGGAAAGAGACACACAAATCAAACAGGCTGGCGAACGAAAGAGCGACAGAGAGACAGAGAGAGAGAGAGAGAGAGAGAGAGAGAAAGAGAGTGGATGGCAAGAGAGCGCACAACATTTTCTCCTGATTTTTCTTTTTTGCATTTATTTTTTTGAGTTTTTCTTCGTTTGATTTTTATTTCCCCCACATTTCTTTGTTGCGATTTTGTTTTCTTTTATTTTTTGTTGCTTTCCAGTCTGGGCTTGCTCGTTCACTCTCTCTCTCTCTCTCTCGCTCGGGGAGTGAGAGAAAGAGCGCATTTTCCTTTCTCTCTCTCGCTCGTACATCCTCTCTTGCAGATTTTTATTTTGCTTCCAATGTGGTTGTTGCTTTGCCTTTTTCATTTTTTTTATTTGGCCGCGCGCCCCTGGCCACAAGTAACAAGCGGCAGTGGCAGAGTCGGCAGCAGAGGCAGTGGCAGTGGCAGCAACAGCAACAACACGCCTCAGACATCTCCTTCCTCTGCTGTGGTGTGTTTGCAGCTGTGTGTGTGTGTGTGTGTGTGTGTGCGCGAGTTGTATACCGCAATGGAAAAATGGGAAAATTTTTACTGTGGTTGTTGTTGCGGCAATGGTGGTTGCTTGATACCTGCCCCTTTTGTCTCCAGACTGCCGCCGCTCCCTGCACCCTTAGACCGAGCGCGGCCGTGTGCGTGCGTGTATCTGTGGGCCAGCGTGTTGCTGTGTGTATAGGTAAGCGAGCGAACCAACCAAACCACACGGGCCAGGACAATGCCAGCATGTGCGAAAGAGCAGGTCAGACAGGCAGGCCGGCGCGGAGCGGAGCGGCGTGCCATGGTGGAGGTAGTGCAAGCGAGAGGGTGCGATAGGTAGGAAGAGAGCGAAGGAGAGGGCGAGAGCGAGCTGCGTGGCAGAGGGCAGCGCTGCCAACGGCGACAAGCGCATTCCACTTTAAATACTGGCAACGATCGCAGCAGAGAATCAGTTCACTCAGCGACTTTACCGTGTCGAGAACGCCCCAGAGAGACAGTCTTGAGAAAAAAGAGAATCGAGCGAAAGAGATTCGAGAGTTTATACACACACACACCACACACTCCGTCGCGTCTTAGTTTTCGCCTTGAGACAACAATTTCCTTAAATGCAGCATTAAGCAAATACTAAAACCCCAAAGCCAAAAACGACGAAACTTTTTTTTGCCAGTGAAAAACGGTTTTTGCGAGAGCGGGCAACATTGCCGGCTCGCAAGAAAGTGCAGTGCAAAGTACCGTACAACGAACACAACACAACAAAACAAAACACAAGGATTACAACATTGGATTACAACCGCAGCAGCAGCAGCAGCAGCAGCAGAAGCGGCAGCAGGAGCAGAGTTTTTTTTTTGTTGGAGAAACAACCGAAAGATAAGATGCATCTACCGAATGGTCCCACAATGGTGGCCAACAGCACCGCTGTGGCACACACACAAGTGCTGGCAGCGGCAGCCGCAGCGGCCGCAGCGGCGGCTGTGGTAAACTCCGGCTCGAGCGGCTCCTCCTCGATGGCACAGAGCACATCGCTGGCCAACACCAGCACCCACTCGGCCAGCAGCAGCACCGGCAGCTCCACGCCCGACATCAGTGCCACCGCCAACACCACCGCCAACAGCAGCAGCAGCAGCACCGCCAATAGCACGGCGAACAACAGCGGCAACTCCGCCAAAATGCCCAGCTCCATGACGGACATGTTCGCCAGCCTACACGAGATGCTGCAGGAGTACCACGGCGAGCTGGCCCAGACCGGCTCACCCTCGATCCTGTGCAGCGCCCTGCCCAACCACTGGCGCTCCAACAAGTCGCTGCCGGGTGCCTTCAAGGTGATCGCCCTGGACGACGTGCCCGACGGCACACTGGTGTCGATCAAGTGCGGTAACGATGAGAACTACTGCGGGGAGCTGCGCAACTGCACCACCACGATGAAGAACCAGGTGGCCAAGTTCAATGATCTGCGCTTCGTGGGACGCTCCGGTCGGGGCAAGTCCTTCACGCTGACCATCACAATCGCCACATATCCAGTGCAGATAGCCAGCTACAGCAAGGCCATCAAGGTGACGGTCGACGGGCCGCGGGAGCCAAGAAGTAAGCAAAGTGAGTTTTTTAGTTTCCATTACGTTTTCAGTTCAATCCAATCCAATCCAATCCAGTTCCCACTCCCACACCTACAACTTCCTTTCATTTGGTTTTAAAAGCAGTTTCTAATTCAACAACGAAGATCCTTCGGGTTTTGTTTTGACTTCATTTCATCTCTGTTGAGATCTGCCACCAACGAATATCCTTCCCATCCTGCCGCTTCCCTTTGGACATTTTTACAAACTTTACTTTTTGCCTTGTGTTTTCTTTACTGACTTTTTGCTTTGCTTTCTGCTCTTTCCAGGCTATGGCTATCCACATCCTGGCGCCTTTAACCCCTTCATGCTGAACCCCGCCTGGCTGGATGCCGCCTACATGACCTACGGCTATGCGGACTACTTCCGCCACCAGGCCGCCGCTCAGGCAGCCGTGCACCATCCGGCCCTGTCCAAGGCCTCGCCCTCGAGCAGCTCCAGCATTGTGTCGCCCAGCGCCAGAGACGCGGCCTCCAGTGGTGTGGCTGGCGGCGCCAGTGCTGCGGGACCCGCCGACTACCATCATGTGTCGCAGATCACGCCGCCTCCGTCCGGGGCCCCAACGGCCGCTGGCCAACCGGCTGCCATGATGCCCTCGCCGCCAGGAGCCGCTCCGGCCGCAGCCTACGCCATGCCCCAGTTCCCGTTCAATCATGTGGCCGCCGCCGCCGCGGCAGCAGCCCAGCAGCAGCAGCACCATGCCAAGTCCACGCCTCACGCCTTCCATCCGTACAACTTTGCCGCCGCCGCGGGTCTGCGCGCGCGCAATGCGGCAGCGGCTGTCCTGCACCACGGCGGAGACGCCACCGGCATCAGCCACATCAGTCCGGCCTCGTCGCGCCCCTCCAGCTCCTCGCCCACTCAGCAGCACGTGCTCCTCAAGCTGAACACCTCCATCGAGACGAGCTCCATCCACGAGCAGTCCGCCTCCGATGCCGACTCCGATGACGAGCAGATCGATGTGGTGAAGTCAGAGTACGACCTGGACAAGTCCATCGACTCCAGCCGCAGCTCTCCGCTCGCCCAGCACATCTCCGTGCCCCTCCGCATGCGCTGCGACCTCAAGGCGCCCTCCGCCCTCAAGCCCCTCTTCCACGAGAGTGCGGCGGCGGCTGCCACCACCCGACAGGCATCGCCGGAGACCACGCTGCCGGCGGCCACCAAGCTGAAGAATTCCGCTGTCCAGCAGAAGACCGTGTGGAGGCCCTACTAAGTGGTGGCAGCAGGAAGGTGGATCCCTCTCAGGATCCACGACAAAAGTGATACGAACATGTGACTGGAGTGGAGTGGAGTGGAGTGAACAGGGCAGTGGATGGGAGAGGAGAAGCAGCGCAGAGCGGCAAGCAAAAAAATTGTGATATAGTGATGTAAGTTAGACCACGCCCACAGCAGTCAACGGCAGGCCTCCGGCGGGCAAACGGAGGAGGAAGCGGAACCCAGAAATCAGAAACCAGAAACCAGAACCAGGATCACCGACATCAACAGACAGAGGAAAGTTGGCGCATCGAGCTCCGACGTAGTTTTATGCTCGATTCATAAAATCGTAGGCCGAGTTCGTGAAACCAACCGACTGGCAGACTGGTGTTGCACAACCAAAAACAACAAGAAAGCAAAGAATTTCCCCGAGATCTTCCAGCGACAAGATCTTAAGCGAAAACTCTGTTGAAAAGCAAACGCAAAACGCAAAACGCAAAAGCAAAACGCAAAACCAAAACCCAAAGCCGAACAAATGCAAAGAACGATAAAAAGTAACTTAGCGATAGAGAAAGGAAAACTTTAGTTCAATTCTTAACGACTCATCCCAAGAAACATTTATGATTTGTAAATCATTTTTCATTTTCACTTTATACACTCCTGACCCTGCCCCTGCCCCTCCTAGCAACCACACAAATATTGTACATAGATATAGAACATTTTTTTTTTTGAGGAAACATCTATTTTTTTTTGTGGATAATTCGAATTTAGCTATTGGATAGTTCTTAAGTTTATCTAGTGATGTAAGTGAACAGAATTTTTTTGTCTAGAATTAAGTTTTAGCGAGAGAAAAAAATCTAACACAAACGAATTTCCCCCAAAACCAAATAAAAAAAAAAACAAAAACAAAAATCACACACAAAAATTATTTACAAAAACAAAACATTTGGCTGAGTTTTTCCTTAATTACTTTTCAGGAATTGTTCTCAAATATTTCAGCGATAGTTTCTCAATCAATCTATTGAAATCCGAATTTTCAGAGTGAAGTAAATAATATGTTGCAAAGTTGCATCTTAATGTGGCTTCCATATTGTCAATGTATAATAATTCCAAATGATTTTCGACGCCAGTGAAAATGGAAAATGAAAATATTCATTTAATAATTAGAACTACCTTGCTGGAATTTCTGTTCCATCAAAACAAAAGGAGTACTGATATATTTTTTATTTTTATTTTTATTAGCAAAAGCCTTGCCATATATTTTATTCAGGGAATTGTCTTCATTAATACTACTTGCTGATGATATTCAACAGTTTCATTCGATATTTCCTCTATTTGGTTTACAATAGTTAGTTACAATTACAAATGGTAATACAAAATTTTATCTTGGAAAACTGTTGGGCCAGCAACAACAGCATAAATCTAACATTTTGTTTCTATTTTTTGTAAATATTTTCTCATTCTTTATATTTTATTTTCCATATCAGTATTAAATTTATTCTTTATTACCCTCTCCCATTAGCACGCAAGAAATCGCCTTATCACAGACGAACGGCAGACAACGGAAAAATACGATAGAAAAGGTGATTTAATGTGGTCAAGAATTGGCCACAAATTGAGAATTTCCCCAATTAAATTACTAAGTAGAACTACTTGATGACAGCACCTACGTTTGTGGGAATACCTCTGATCGAAAGATCACTTCAGCGGGACTTATCTATAGTACTTATTGATAGCAAGCCCTACTGTTGTGGTTTGGGGGAAACTCCAAAAGTGAAGCCCCCCAGGCACGTTCCACGAGAGATCTCTGTTAAGCGAATCGATTTGGTTATCTGTCCAAAAATTCAACGTGCTGTCCGGCAGAGTGCAGATAAGCCGGTTAGAGTTTGCCTAACTGCCGTGGCAGGGAACCTCTTCGGCTGGTGGTCCTCTACTCCCTATGTGCGTCGAAGGTCATCCGGGTAACCGCAGGACGTAGCCAGAAACCAAATTGATGGCAATTAATGCGGATTTTTAGTGATTATGGGCAGTGGTACACGGCCATCGCAGCGTGTGACGATACGAGTACTCACGTACTTTTCGACAATTGTCGCATTAATTGGCCCAGCGAACTCAACTCACTTTTGGTCCAACATTTCGTATGTCGACATCGGCACCAACAGTGCCACTCGGACTCGATGGCGGCCCAACCGCAGTGCGATTTGTCGGGGCCATTAACCGCACAGTCGAGTGCCAGGCAACGGCAACGGCAACGGCATCGGCATCTTCATCGACATCTTGCACGCCTCATTAGAGGATCGCTGGCCAAGGTGTTGGCCAAAGAATGGTTGAGTTGTCTCCTCAAGGCCGCATGGACACATGGCCGGGGTTGACCTTCACTTCGATTGGTCAAGGCAACCCACAAAACTGCAATTTTGACACTCAATTTGGTGACATGCAACGGGGTGTTGCACTTGGTGAGGTCCTCCTCAATGGCATGTACCCAGTGGGCGAGGAGTTTTAAAAAAACTCGTTCCCTGATTAGGAAAGTCGTACTTGGAAGTTGAAAGTATACGAAGCAATGGAAAGAACACTGCCTTTGGATACCAACGAGGACGAGAACTCTCTAATAAGTTCATATTTTCCCAAGGAAATCAAGCTAAAAGAAACTTAATCTTGTTGAAGAATAATGATAGAAGTCGTCGCAAAATTTGTAGAGTGCGCTCACTATTCCCATGGAAGGACACGAACACTTCTCAATTGGATGCTTGTCCTCTTTGAAGGACTGGCCCTCCCCCGCTCAATAGGAACAGGAATGTAAGGACTCTGGCGACTGCTGAATCGAATCAAAATGTGCAATTGAACTGGTAAAAATGTCGAATATTTTCGGTTGGGGCAAATAGTTGGCACCCATAATGATACCAAAAAAATACTATTGAGTCCAACTTTTTGCATGAGACCACCCCACCCCACCCCGCCATTCCTTTGGCACTTGCATTTTCGCATTTAATCAATGGAAAATTTACATTTTCACAATGTGTTTTACACTTTTCTTCATGTTTTTGCCCCGGCTACGAGTTGGTTGTTTTGTTGTTGTTTTTTGGCTGGTGGCTGGGGGCTCTCTCTTGATTTCGTCGCTGTTTTTCTTTACATTTTGTTGTTGTTTTGGTTGATGTAGCGCGAAAATCGGGTAGGTGAGGAGGTGGAGGTGGAGGTGGAGGTTGAGGTGGCAGTGGTGTGGTGTGGCGCCTCTTTTGTGAAATGCGGCGCGTGGAAAACTATTTGACTATTTGTTGTTCTTGCTGTTTGTTGCTTCATTTGCTCTCTGCTGCTGCTCTTGTTGCCATCGACTGAGGTTGACTGTGTGATTGTTGGCGGTTTGGGGCATGCAGCGGGCCAAAGCCAAAAAATGCCTACGCCGGCACACGCACACACATCTACGATCCAATACACACACAGATACTCGACACAGATACAAAGATAAACAAAACCGCGCCGCGCGGAACGAAAACGAATCGAAAACGCAACGAAACAAAGCCAAAAAAAAAAACACAACAAAAACATCAAAAATTCTCTTTTAAAAACTCAATCTCTGAATACCCTTTTTCGCGGTATTTTGTATATGAAATATTTGAGATATATTCATAAGATTCGTTAAAGAATCACAAGACAGTGAGTCTCAGTAATTTATTATTCTAATTTATTATTCAAGACTAAATAAATAAATGTTCCATGAGACTGACTCAATTTTTTAAGCGAAAATGCATGGACTTAATTTGCAACATTTTGGAAAGTAAAAAAAAAGTTCTTACATTTTAAAGGGTATGATCGGCTTCATTCGCAGCGCTGCGATCATAGTGTCCCCCTCTTTGTTAATGTCAGGGCATTAAAGTCCGTCGGAGGAGAAGGTGATGAGGCGGTGGAGACTGAGACGAAACGGCAAGAGGGGAAGAAGCAGGAGAGTAGGAGGTGGAGCAGTGGAGAGAAGCGAAATGAGCCGAAAATATAAAAATGGCCAATGCAAATGGAAAATGGTTGGCCAGAAATTACAAAGAGCAATGTGCGTGTGTGTGTGTGTGTGTGTGTGCACAGAGAGAGGTGAAAGAACTGAATGGAGCATTCCCCCTACTGCTGCCCAATACTGGTACTCGTACCGCCCCACCAATCTGGCCGTCCCTCCAATTTCCGCGAACAAATTACAAACGAAATGAGCGCCGCTTTCGATTCTCTGTTTCTTTTTTGTTCTTCTATGGGAATATACGCTGACTGGAGGGTATTCCAGCTTTGCCTAGACGCTTGCGCATTCCTAAAATTGTTTTCCATTCAAATTATAGCATCAAATGTATGTACATAAATGTAAGACCACTCACTATTTCTTAGCTCATAGTGTGACATAATTATGAATTTTTGCAGCCATAATGCGGAAGAATATCATCTGGAACGGCGGCAATGGTTGCTCAATTTGTTGTTAATAAAAAAGAGGAATCGCTGTCCGTAAATTGTAACGCTGACATTGATCATCCAATCGTTGGAGGATGCTCAAGAAAATGTCTAACAACAATCAATTGCAGATGATACCGGATGATAAGCAACCATGACCATACAATAAATAAACGAAAAGAGATTCTAGAGCATCAATGGATCTGCTAGGATACCAAATGCTTCTCTTGCCACAGTTGGTCTGCCTGCTCTGTTTCCGCTTTCTTCTCTGGTTTTTGTTTTTGGCTTTGGCTTTTTTTGGTGATTTTTTCCAATTAGGTGCTAATGAAATGCGTTGGTAACGCTGATTGCATGTGGCCAAAAGGTTGGCCCATGTAGGTGGTCCGTCGAAAAAGGGCTGGGCTGGGGAGAGGGGACGTTAGCGATTGAAGTGCTGTCCGCAAAATCTGAAAAGTCACGCGACCAAAGTCAATTGTCTGAGCAAACTTTAGTGGCCCTTTAAGCATTACATTTTAAATGCCAATGTTAGTTGTCACGCTCCCTCCTCTGCCACCCTTGGGCTCCGCACAAAAGATGGCTGAAAGGTGTGTGTGCCCCACTGGGTGGACGAGCACCCACCCCCGCCATTTCTGCCAGTCCCTGGCTTCTACTTCTTTGGGGGCTTTCGCGGTTAGCCGTTGTTAGGTCTGTCGGCCAGACTTCTTCCTGGTCTCTGCCCCCCCGTCAGCCACACGG